GCTGGCGCGCATACGGATGAGGTCGAGATACGTTGAGAGCTCGCACCGCGTCTGTACGTCCACATTCACAGAGTCAAGGTAGCTCTCGACAATGGGAATAAGACCCGGGAAGCTGTGCTTGTCCGATTGTGAACCGTTGATGATCTCGTCGACCGTCATGAGCGTATACTCATCCTCGACAGGCCCGAAGGGTGTAGGAGGTCGGCTAGCCGTGGGCGAACCCGAGCGGGACGTAGCGCTGCTGCGCACCGGTCTGTTTGGGAATGGATTCTTCCGGAAGTAGAATTTCTTCTCCAGGACGGCGTCTTTAGCATGTGCGGTCTCCATATTCTCATCTACCTTGACGATTGGGATATAGAAGTTCAAGTCGAAGCTTAGAATTGCGCGTGTTATTAAAACCATGAAGACGGCAAAAGCCGCGTTCTCGAAGTCCGTGATCTGTATCTCCATTGGGCGAAACTCAACTCGCCAGCCGATATCAGAGCCCGGTGGTGGCGGCTTGAACCGCATATGTTGCCAGTTAGTGCTCTGGATGTTCTCGAAATGATCAGCCTTTGTCAAGTCAAGTTCTTTAAGATCTTCACTGAAAATTACGATGGGATCCCGGATGAACAGGTGCGCAAAATGTGTCGCGAGGCGATCGTCCATGCCACCTTCGAGGAGCTCTGCCTTAATATCTTCATCGATAACAAGATTAGGATCGAAGTACTCCTGTCTAAGACGCTCATCGGTGCTTATATAGGTGGAGTTAGATGCGTAACGCGATTTGGGTATGCGCCATCGGCTGTTTTTCAGGGGCTTAACAACAATTAGTTACTTAGAACCGGTTGAGTTGTTGCATGTGAACTTACCTTCTCTCCTAGTTCTTCGGGAGTTCGGTCATCTACGGATCGGCTGATTTGGTTCCAGCGGACATCGGTATCGGCTAGGAACCCCTTATAAATAGGAGTCGCTGCCGTTAGAGCCAACATGATGGGGCCAATTGGACTCAGCTGGTCATACATCCTTCTACCCTCGATGATGTTCTTCGCCTGGAACGTAATCTGTAAACAGCAGCTTCCCATCCCAAATGCCATAGCATCCATGTGGATAAAATTGTCCGGGGCTGCACCGTTTCTCACATCGTCGTCCTCTGGCCAGTTGTGCAGATCATAGTTCACCGTAGGATCCTTCCAAGGAATTGGCGTCTTTTGATCGTGGAAGACTGGAACGTTCACCTGAACCTTCCGCCCGCGCCTCCAGCGGATGTTCGCCGCTAGCGTTGGAAACCGAATATGCGGATTAGCAATCTCGTCTGGCACAAATTGTGACCGGAGTTTTGGCCCAGATGGTGGGTAGTAAGGATCCGTAAAGACACCCGGAACACCTAGGCGAGGGAATGTTGTGAGTGTAATGGGATATTCTTCAGCCTGCATGTGTTCTTTGGCTATCTTCCTCCTAGGATCTAGTTAGCTTAGAGTAAGGACACGACGCGCAAAGTACAAGATAATGATACCTGTTTTTCATATCGGGTTCGACGCCCAAAAGTTCCTTGAACCCGATGCCCCATGGCTTGCCTGGAGTAGCCTCAAGCATAAATCTACCAAATTCAGGATGGAACACCGGTAACGGATTCGATCTCTGCGACTCAAGTTCCTGGAGTGCCGGAACGCATCCGCCTTTATCGGAGAGTTCTTCATCAGCCGCCAGGGCTTTGAGAATATCGGCTTGCCGAAGCGAAAGGAGAACCTTGGGATCATCCTTGGAGTATTTTACGACCAAGTACTCTATCTAAGGAGTCGTTAACAGAGATACCTCCTTAGTGGCGCAATATGGTGCAAGCGGTACCTCATCACCCCACAACATAGCATCTCGTTCCTTATGCTTGGCCTTATTCCAAATCTCTAGGAGTTGCTACGATAGGTCAGCCGGTTTTTAGAACAATAGCAGGGGATGCCGTGATAAGGAACTACCTTGATTCCCCATTCCCTAACCTGATGCGCATGCTGCTGTGCGTCCGGCCAATCAAGAGCCGTTCCTAAAGCTCTATAAATCGATGTTAATGACCTCATCGCTAGATCGGCCCCCGTGTATCAATCGATCAAGGAAACACGTACAGTAAACCCATATTTGCCGTTAAAAATTCGCAGCTATATGGCCTGGTGAGATAAAAGGAGTATTCCTTCTTTCATAAATTCCAGAGCTCGGATAGGTACGTCGGTATATTTCTCGACGAGATGCTAAGTGATGATGTTTGCTTGGAGAGGAGAACAGGACTTTTAAGATAAAGATATTTAATAGGAGTGGATAATCAACTGACAACTCCAACTCCGAGGGCCGTCAGTATTTAATCTTTAACTTCCAAATTTGCTCTACCACAAGCTCTAGTTGTATCGCCTGCCCTATCCGTGTTACGGTTCCGTATTACGGACTTGCCGTATCGTGAAAGGAGACAGACTTTTGAGCGGCGTCGACAGCCGGCTCTTACAGCGCTGTCATAAAATACGCCCTCTTTTCCTTTAGATTGTAACCCCCACGAATTAGAGTCAGGCTTTCGAAGCCATAATCACGAATGGGAATATGGATGCAAGCTGGTGGGTGGTACGGTGTTATCAACTGCGCATCGAAGCACGCAATTCCTGGATCATACCACTGGTCCGACTGACGCTTTTTTCTCTAGATCTACTATGTAGAGCTCTTAGCGGCAATCCCTTGTTCCTTGATGCGTAACAAATTGTAGGAGACGTGGGAGTGTGAAAGAAGCGAGGTCAGATTGGCACCAAGCTGACGAGATATATATATGAGTGCTTCGGTTCCATCGTCTTATTATGAACTTGACTAGTTTTTTTTTCCCTCTTCTCTTTTCTTTTCCCCCCTACTTTGTCTACTCCTTTGTGGGGGGCTCTAGGCTCTAGGCTCTACATAGGCTCTAGAATGATTATTAAGGGCCAGATGCCGACCGAAGCCGCAAATGGCTTAGAAATACAAATTTACAGCATTAGTAGCATCGATTGATCATACTATCGTAGAAGCTGGAGTGGGATTAGATCAAAGTCTAGTTCCCCGATAACAGCTGCACTGCAGTGCCTAGGTACCTAGGTAGGTATTAACCCCATTAACCCCGGCGCGGCCCGCCTCGGCAAATGAGAAGAGATGTGGCAGTGCACACTTTACCTTAGGTACCTAGGTTAGGTACCTACCTATCCTACGGGAATGGAACCTCTTGAGCCTGTGGCGTTAGTAGGACATGTTTATAAACGCAACTCTCTTTTATCAATTTGACACAATTTTACATTTTATTACATTTTATTACATTTTACAAACTGATATTAGAGGTCTTAATATTAATAACCCAGCTATGGATAAGTCAATTACTTCGAACAACGCAGATGATATAAGTGAGGGCCTGGAAACCTCATTATCTACTCAACTTACCCTCGCTACCTGTTAAAGCAGCTTTCAGAACCTTGCGAATACCAAATCACCCGCCCGAGCAGTAGACCATTCTCTTTCGAAATCTACTACGGAGCGGAACCGCTTTCGAGTAGGGAATCATACTCGTCGGTCTTCTAGGCTATACAAACGTTATCATATAAATCTTGACAGGAAAAGGCCAAACTCATCGAACCAGTCATCAAACAAAGACCGTTTTTCTTCACAATGTATATCACCCGATGAGCAAGGGGTTAGAGGCCACCATCTCGAAAGCATCCTCCAGCGATTTTCAGAAACGGCAGTAAACCAGGATCGGCTTCTAACTTTACTTCATAGAACACACGATAATCAAGAAAACTTAGCGTTTCCGTTCTCTTATGTCAATGTCAACCATTCCCAGCCAAGTCCTATCAAATTCAGCCCTTCGTTTCTGCATAAGTACCTAATGTTCAGAATACGTTGCATCCAGACTCGGTCCGGTTATGTGATATATTCTTAGCAAGATACAACCTTCCACATGTTCTATCTGGATCATATGATCCAATCGAACTAATCCATGCACATGGTTGGGAGCAGGAAGGTTGCGGCGAAACCACCTTGACAATTCAAGATCCTAGTGAGGATGCACAGATGATAGAAGTTCCATGGAAACACATTGACCAGGCCGGAGAACCGCTTCTCGCCTCGAAGCTCACTCGAGTCGCGGCCCTGATTAAAAATCATTGGTTATATCAAGGGAGGTCGATACGGAACTTAGATGAAGTTGGGGTACCGTTCGAGACAGATGAGTTTGCAGATTCTGTTATTTTCCTAAATTGCCCAGGCTTCACGAAAGCTTTGTTATACCAGTCAGGTCACGATTCATATGGCACTCGTTTTTCTCGAGAACCCTGACTGCGCGGGAAACGCTCGCTTTTGCGTCAACTCCAGATGACATTGACCCCTAGCCCCCCAAGACTCGTACAGCTGACAAGGAATACTATCCTAACGATGATAGGTTGCATGTTGATCGATCTTGCCCTTGGGATGGGAAAGTTTTCGGGCGAATATGGTAAACCACCCGCTTCAAAACCAGACGAATAGCCACATCTAACTCGATAAGTCAAAATAAGTGATCCACGCCCGACGACTTCTTAGCTTCGCTTGCATATATCTGGCCTTATCTCAGATGAGTGTTGCCAGTGATACTAGGCAAGTGATACTAGGAACCAAGAAAGCATTGTGCTTCCTGAGCCGCCAGACGTCTAATTGGCCGCAGTTCATGCAAACCAGCGAAGTCTGGCTGTCATCCAGCTGGATTCATATTCATTTCCACTTCCAAGTTCTATCGGCGGGGAAGAAGTGCTTACCCAGTCAGTACCAATAAACCTTAGCCAAAAAATAGACTTCGTCCCTCCCGCGTCTCTAGCATGCTTGCCTCTCTATGTAGACAGTGCAGATAACATCAGAATCATCGAGGAGAGGTTTCCTCTTGCGATAGTGCCTCCCTACACGGCAAATATGCCACCTTATACCATATTTTACCTTAGCGACTCCGAGTACCGGCGCCTCTTCATGGAAAGCGAACAACCGCTGGACATGCTTAGCCAAGGAAGATTTACAGGAATTGCCAGATATCCTAAAGTTCGCTAATAAGATTGTGTACACAGCTCTCCAGTGCTACTTCAGTGCGCGAGGCATCACGAGCGACGGTCTTGGACCAGTACATCATAGTATTCACAATCGTCACCATATTCTATCTTCCCCTAAGCTACGTTTCGGTATGTTACCCATTACCTCCTACGTGAAAGAACTTTCTATCTGGTAATTGTATCATCCCAAGTCTTTATTCAGCATGGACATATTCGCCTACGACGACGAGAGGCTGTCTAAGTTCAAGCTGTTACTAGGAAACTTTCGATGGAAGACATTTCATTCTCCGCGGAGGCGTGCGTTCGAGGAGAAGACTGGACCTATATTTCATAGCGTATAGAGTCTAATAGAATCTCGGTGACCATTTTTAGTAGTTATACGTAGATGCCAACAATATATGTATAAATCGTACGGCCTACGTACCTCAAGACGAATAATTTCGATCATGCCAAGGTATGTAGATGTATACCGTAGCCACGTACTCTTAGGAGGAGCAAGTACCTGTCTAGAGCCCCAAGTTCTCTTCCATTTTATTATTATTTTCTATGTTTTCCTTTTCTTTCCTTTTTTTTTAATATTCTAATCCACCTTCCGCAGCGAATTATAATGCTCCCCAAGCCCGTACCCATGGCGATAATATGCCAGCCATATCCTCTGCCTCTCCGCGCCCTCCTTGTCCGTGCTCGGCTCGATGGTCTCTGTCCGCCCGTCCTGCAGCACCTTGATCTCGACACCGTACGCGTTCGCCAACGCCGATAACTCGAGTTGGCCTCCCCACTCCGCCGTGTCCCGGATCTTCGGCACGTACGTGTCCAGCGGCTCCTCCAAGAACGGCGCGAAGTCGTCCGCGTGCGCTTCCATGTAGTCCGTTGCTGCCTGCCGTACTACTCTGTACGGCGGCTTGCCTTTTGTTTCGGTGTCCGGGCCGAGCGGTATGTCTCGCGTTTGTAGCTGGTCTGCTATGGCGGAGAATAGACAGTGCCCGTCTGGCTGTATCTCCTTCTCGACTAGGTTGTTGGCCTTGAATTCTTTGAGCAGGTATGTCTTCTCGATTTTCCGGTGGTCTGTCATGTTGGCTGCCTCCTGCTCGGCGGCTATGGTGGCTGCTTCTTGTTCTGCTGCCCTCCGCGCCATTCGCTCCTTTTGGCGGTTCCGCTTCTTGGGCTGCTGCTGTTGTGTCGCGGGGTCGGATTCTGGTGGCGGGGAGATGATTGTATCTTTGAATTGCTTCATTATTCCATTCGTCGTGTCTCCGTTGAGATTCTGGTCTTGCAACGCTTCTTGTTGTTCTTGTTGTTCTTGTTCCTCTATTTCGCCCATTGCACGTCCCTCGTAGCCGGAGTCTCCGTTTATCACAGCAATCTCTTGTTCCTGCTTCTCTTTTAACTGCTTCTCAAGCTCGGCACATTCATCATTAACACCCTTTCGCGTCTTTTTTGTCGCATTCTTCTTCTTATTCGTGATTCGCGCTTGCAGCTCGCGCTGTTCTTTACGATGCCGAGCCTGGATAGTCTCTAAAGACTCCATTGTAGCTTAAAGTGAGGATATCGTCTTAATTTATTTGGGTATTGTGGTTGAATCATAAGAAATGAACTAGGGGTTCTTAAAGACTCTTCAATGCCGTAAACAATTTCGACTTGAAATCTAGATGGAAGGTTAAACTATTGATTTCAACGTGGGGTGAAGTCGTAAAGTCGTCAATTTTTAATAGCAGGCCACAAGCTACAGGTACAACTTTACGCGGTATAGTGGGGTAGCTCGCCCAAATACCCCTAAGATACCTAGGTACCTAAGGTACTACATTATGAGGTACCTACGTAGGTACCTATCCATACATGCCATTGGCCATGGGCCATGGCATAGATTCGATGCTCAAGGATAAAACATCAATACGCAACTCATACTTAAACGCATATAATTAATCACACTTAAACCCATCTCATGAATGCTATAAAAACTCATCGATTTGCTGGAATGGTTCGTAAGCAACTGACCTAACTATTCAGTTTAGAGACATTAGAGGTGTATATAAAAGGAGAATGTCAATAACGCCCAAACAATGACACACGGTTAACGGTCCAATGGCGTAGCCGCAACTTTTCTGAATCCCCCTACCCTATCTTGCAAACCGAGTCATATCGCCCGTCTATCCAGCATAGAAACAGTGTTTGACGCCAGGTCCTGGAGATAGGCTACATTTATACATATCCTAGGCGTATAAATCTCAAAAGACCTAATTCTGCTCTGAGTCTCAATCGCTTTACCGTCTGGAGAAGCAGCACATGATTCCGGTTCGGCCCAAGAACCAGCAGCATCCGATGAAACGGACGAGGGACATGGCTGCGGTGGCGATAAGAAGGAATTTGAAAAACTGCGCCGTTCGGTCTGACGTAGTACCCTGTGATCCAGTTAGCATAAAACTCTTCGTCATCTATTTCAACTAAAGAATCAAACTTACCCCAACACCAAATGTGGATAGCTTGTCACTAGTTACACCCACAATAAGAGCGCAGTTCGAGAACAACCACGCAACAACCAGCGATGTTCGGAAGGACTTGTACGAGTCCTCAAGGTCCTTGCTGTCATCCTCAGGTTCAGCCTTGAAAGGAGCTAAAGCACGCTTGACTGTCTGCTCAAACTGGCTGTCGATATCCTCCTGGGGCTTGTCGATTTCCTCGATGGCGGCTTCGCCCTTTTCATCCTTCACAACCTGAGCCTTTGGTAAAGCTTCGGCTTTATCCGAACCCTTTGTACCCCATGAGACATCGTGCCAGTTGTTGAAAGCGTAAACCATTAGAATGTTGATGTACGTTGACATGAGGACCAGGTACTGCGGGAACGAGTGGAACATGTGCCACGGGTCTAGGTACATGAACGATGCGATGAAGTACAAACCAAATGTCGCAAGTAACGCTAGGATAATGATAGCCACTTCAGACTGGCCCGTAAACATTTCCTTCAGGGCATCGCCAGCACTTTCGCCCTGGGGCAAATTTTGCGGCTGGAAAGCATTCACGACAAGATAACCCGACAAGATGAGGACGTAGATCTGAATAAACCCGAACAAGCCAAACGACGCAATGTATGACCACTTGGAACCCTTGGGACGGTTACCAAGCGCCAGGATGAACTGAAGAATCAGGAAGGCAATGTACAGGTACTCGAGGATGATGTTGACAATAGGGGTAGCAGTGTCACCGAAAGGCCAGCCGTGTTTCTCAGCAGAAGTCGGACCGGGTTCTGTGTGTGATCCGACCAAATCCATAAGAACCGTGGTTGTCAGGTAATACGATGCCAAACTGAACCAGGTGAACAATACGTTTGCGATGTTGTAAATAAGCTGAATGTGCAAGAAAAACATGCGGACGATGTTATGACCACTCTTGTACATACGGCCGAAGTGCATCAACGAGTAAAGCGAGGCGGCAAACGAACCGTTGAGCCAACGTCTTCGCTGACTGATGAATTCAGGAGCACCTTCGGGAACATCAGTCTCACCCTTGGCAGCTTTGATATACGACAGATGCCATTTAGACCCAGCTTTGGCGACAAGCTCGAAACACAAGATACGATCTTCGGCCAAGAACATGTTCTTCTTGAAGATGTTCATGCCTTCGATACCCTTGGGGCCGAGAATCTTGGAAAGAGTATGGTCACCATGGAAGTATTGGTCCAAAGGTCGACCCATGATAGCTCGGAATCGGTATGCCGAGAAAGCACCAGGCAACACAGACACGTAGCCGAAAGAGCTTTCTAGAGGCTTGTCCAAAATATTAGAGATCTTGTACTCAAAATTCTGGACGGCGACAAGAGGGTTCATTAACTTCTTGCCGCCTTTGCCTAACATAGCGTGGATTTCACCACAAGCTCCACCAAGATCCTTGTCGTTGTAAAAGCCTTCCCAAAGCGCAAGGAGCGACTTCGGTCCCGGTTTGGTACCAGCATCAAGAAGAATACACACTTCAGGGTTCAAGATCCTGCCAAATGCATTGAATAACCAACGATGAGAGTTGATCTTCTTGGTGTTCTTCTGCTTTAGACAGAAAATCATCTGGACGGGAGGCAAGGTCTGGGGGCTGTCGTCCACCGGTCTAATGAGCTGTTGGTTTGGCGTAACAGACAACTGAGTAGTGTACTCGAAGACATGAGCAACAGTCTCTTTGCCATTGACCTCCTTTTTCACGACACCATCCTGGAAGACACCGATGGTGGCCAAGACGTCCAGTGTTTCCTTGTCTGCCTTTTCAATACCATCGAAAACAAAACAGACTACAATCTTTTGCCAAGCAGGGCCGCCCTTATTCCAGAAAGTAGATTTTTTCAGGTTGACGATGTCGCGAACATTCTGCATAACACCGTGAAGTGTTCGCGAAAAAAGTTGCTTGTCTTCGTTGTAGTAAGTAATAGCGATCAGAAGCTCTGTGTGTCTGTTATACATTCGAGGCCGAAGATCGTAACCGTTTTTCAGAGTAAAATCGTTCGGGTCGCAGGTAGCAGCAGTGTATCGCATGTTGAGAAACTCGCCGCTGCCGCTCTCAGTATCCCGGTACTTAGCCTGTACAGCGTTCTTGATAGCACTAGGCACGGGATAATCGGCACTGAGAACGGATCCTTGAACTAGCTTCACCCTTCGGGTAGCATAACGCTTTAAACCACCGCCAGCACCACCTGGTTGCTGACGACGTAGCCAACCCTCGTCGCTGTCGACAGTAGATGCAGGTCTGCCATATCCGAAGCCGGTATCCTCAAGTTGATGTCCACCATAGCCACCTGCATACTCGCCGGGATATTGAGGTGCTGGCGACTGTGTAGGAGGAGGAGCGTTTGTAGCGTACGACTCGGTAAGACTGTAGGCCGAGACTGGACGTGCGGGAGGAGTATTGGTACCCAGCCGATCCTGTTCGTAATGAAGACCAGGAGTCTGTCCTAGGAGGTGACGCTGTGATTCATCATCGTCTTGCTCAAGGGGAGGTAGATGATACTGTATGTGACGAGGTACGAATTAGCTGTGTGACCTTGCAAATGGACAAACCCAAAGCAATGGTTAAGGTTGAAACTTTACCGTGTTGCCGGCAGGCATGTCTTGAAGACGGTGCCCATCGTAGTCGTCAGCGTGACCACTGTTGTAAGCCATTTTGACTATCGGCTACACGAGCCCGTCTTAAACGACAAGGTCGCAAACTATTCAATTTATTTTATTTTATCTTTGTTTTCCGACGCTCGTGTTTGTGCTGATTCCTCAACACTGCGACGAACAATGTAAGATCCAGGGGCCAGGCGAGAATCAAGGTTTCCCCCCCACAAGATAAAGTATTAAAGTGAAAGCGGCCCGTCTGCAGGTGAGACCAATATTGCGAGAATAAACAATAAAGGAAGGAAGGATATCGAGCGATTTGATGAATCAATCACCCAGTGCTCGAAGACATAGGGGGAAGTCTCGCGATGGGTGAAAATATGTGTAGGTGTTCTAAGGGGAAAGATAAAAAAAGAGCGGTGGTTCGTATTTTTCTTTTTCAGGTTGGGATAGGATCCGCGTCGGGATGGAGAGGCCCCTAACACAAGTACATAAAAGGAGACATGCAGGAAAAGAGACTGAGTAGGTACCTATGGACATACATAGGTAGTAAACACATTTTACCAGGGCTGATGTGGCTTAGCACAAAGCTTAGCACGAAGCTTAGCACGCATTACAAGTGACTCAGCTGCTGTTACGTTACTGCTATGCAGCTCGCTGTGAAGTACCTAAGGTTGCCTCTGTCATGCTCTATGTATGTATGTATCTGCGCTAATATTCTAGTACCGTTGCCGAGCTAGATCTTAATTGGTTGAGATGAAACCCGCACACCTGTTTTCCAACTGCCAGATACTTAGGTAGGTACTTAACGGGCATGAAACTCATTCGTCACCTGCTTCCTTAAGAGACAAATATATCACCTACGTCACTCGATATGATATGTATGCATCTAATTCTCGTGACAGCCTGCCAGATGTTTGCCAATGTTATTCTATGTTGAATTCTTTGAGCATCTCCTATAGTGTCACAATGTTGCTAGTAAGACAAGTGGAGGATCTGGGAAGTACAAAAAGAAGTACATGCAGTAATGGAAGACTTCCACAACTTGCAGATTTTTTGAGATGGATCCAACTTTCAGACGATCAGCCACAAATGCGAGCTAGCAAATAGTATCAACCCGACAAGGCGTAATGCACAGGATAGCCTACTGCCGGGTACTACATATATACTGGTCAGCACAGGGATAATGGATCATCGCTACTGACCAACATCATTTGTCGTCCTGCCTCTTTCGAATTCTCTAGAGAATGTTATAGTCAACATTATAGCCCATTCGTATTTTCTAGTTATGTCCCAGTATGCGGTAAATACTACCGCGCAAATATGCACTGCAAATTTGTCTCTATTAAAGAATACGAATTATGGCTACCTGGGTAATCTGTTAAGTGCACATTCCCTGTATTGTATTTTTTCAGGGGATGATGGCTGGTTTGTCCGTTGGCAACCTCAGCTTGCCGTTAGCCTGAAACTGAGTCTCCATATTTTCCCCAATGCCCTACGTGTACTACTTAGATAGGTACATAATGTACCTAATTCACCTAGTAAAGTTAGATATCTGCTTAGGCACATACCTAGGTAATAATGTTCCAGCTGAATAGAGATAGGTATTATGCAATATATACTCCTTGACTTATTTTTGTAAATTTGAAGAATAATTCATAAATACCTTCAATCATTATATTTACGACAATCACGATTAAGTTGACCGTACATATTTGTATCTCATGTCAAGACGTAAGGGTCCCTTTGGGCTAAAAATAACCAAATAGGAGAGTTTGGTGGAGATTTAGTAGCCTCATTGGGTGGAGTGAATCCCCCTTCCTTGTGGATACGAAGAATGAGGCGGTGCAAGATTCGGTAACAATAACTTCCTTGTCGCGTATGTTGATCTTATCTGCCTCCACTATCTCACACCAGTATCATGCTAGCCTTTGCTAAGGTCTTTCTTTTGGTTATTATATACCATAGAGTTACTGCAGATGAGAGCAGCAACAACAACCTTCCTTATAAGCCCTGGCCATCTCGTACAGAATAATCGACAATTACTATATATATGGTCGCTAACAAGCGTTATATCCAGCCTCACATCCGCTACTTTTGGATCTAATTAACCTACATGTACTTCTCCCATAAGCTATATGTATGAAGTTAGCTACACGACTCCTCGAGTTTCACGTGGGATGGATATAGGATGGATATATATTAGGTAGGTGGTGTAGGTATCGTCAAGTGTATTGGTCCATTTCGCATTCAGCCTCAGTATTAGGGCCACCAACTTAACCATCAGGATTTTTGGCCATTCTACCGCATTAGTGCGTGTCTGGTACGCTTTACCTCTCATTATGCTTCATCACTAGAAAGGTCTGAAGATCAAACTTGACCTACTATCTACAACAGCATGCTGAACAAGATCAATAGATCGTATTATACACTCAGCCGTCGGTCTACCTGCAAGTATAACTTGTTTATAGTTACGTCTAACCGCCCTTCGCCTCTCTCCTCTCCTCTCTCATCGGGATACGGACGCAATCGTCTTATAGGCAAAGTCTATGGCATTTCTCTACTACTTTCATCAATGTTTCTCGCCATGTTGTTTGGGCAGATTCCTTCGACAAATATACTGGAGCCTTAAATCTCTTAAACCCCCATTTGCTTGGCCCAAATCGTATATCGGCACTGTTCATATTTCTACAACCATTCTTTTATACAATTCCCTGCCTATAACATTGAAGAAAAATTTTTGGATGATTTAATTTATACCCGCTTCTTATAATTTTGTTCACTCTAAAAGGCTACGTTTATGTAATTACATAATTGCTAAGCAATCTTGGGTGATGTGAAAAGAAAATAGCTAGGGGTCCATTTAAGATATTTACTCCCTGTTGTTCACCGGAAAAAAGGCAAGGCAACCCCCAAAATCTCGGGGAGGCAGAAGTACGATGATACCATACGGCACTTGGGGGACGCGGGCAATGATTCGCCCCAATTAAATTGATTGATTGTTTGTTTGCCGACCCAAGACGCCGACGATATAATTCCATCTTCGGGATCGAACTTCCAATTCGATGATATTCCAGGCGAGGGACCGGATCATTTAAAAAAGATATTATTTCGTACACCACTAGGTTAAGAAAGAACTTGGTTTAAAGTACCCATAATGTCTACCTACGCACATTTCATCGAAATATCTACCTCATAACGTAACGCCGGTAAAGCAGACAAGTAAAAAGAAAAAAGTAAAAAATAACAATCAAAAAATCATTGAACGGCCCCCCGTCGCGTGGGTCTGTAGATCTACGTAAGAGTTCTAGCCCTACCCAATTGCATTCGGTACGAAGTACATAACAGCATACGTACCTCTAGGTACATAAATTGCGCAAACTCGTCAAAGATGATTCTTTCTACTTCATATGGGGGCGGCTTTTCTCTTTCTATTTCGGGACTCTTTGAGTAGAAATGCTTGTTCTACAAAAGTAAATTCAAAGTATAAAAATGATTGATCATCTCATCTTTGTTCTCTCCTTTTTGACACATGTCTATTTTCAATTGTTTTGAGCTGTTCCTGGATTTCCTGGATCAGAAGGTACAAAATATCTACAGTCCTAGAGGATTATTTAGCAGCGACTAGTGGTCCAATGAAAAGTCGCCGTTGGTCCCTGCCAGGCCAGTTTGTTTCGCCTAATTTGGCAATTTTGTTATTCTGTACAACGCTCCCACGCTGGAAAGTAGTACGTACCCGTAAATCGGTCCATTATTCTTGGTCCTTATAGGTGTTTCGCCCAGGACTGCCAGGCCTATCCCTCAATTAATGAAGCCGAACTAGGTACCTAAACCTTGTCCGCTATGCTCCCATCTGCCCATCGGCCCCATCCCCTCTTGCAGTTCGTAGTTCGTAGTTCGTAGTTCGCACTCTCCCACCTTCCAGGCCTTCCCACGCACCCCCCTCTGCCCACTCTACCCACTTTGTACGGGATCCATCCTCATTCAATTATCTTCCCTCTTGCCAATTCATCTCTCCTGTCATACTCTAACCACGCTGCAAATTCAAACAAATAAAAGTATCACTCGCACAAGCTGCAATCGATACTACAGTGGACTTCGTTAAATGTTCTTTTCCATGGCAACCTAGGTTGCACTTATTCGAATTCATTTCTTTGAGCTAGTCTCTCTGTCACTCGTTTATCTTCCCATCAATTAAATCATCGCCTGGAACGCCAACATTCCCGCGCCGCCCCCTTCTTCCACTCAAACCCAGTCAATTCGACATCACGACAAACACGACAAACACGACCGACGCTTGACGCTTCCGTGTCGTCCAATCTCACTTTTTAACCATCGAGGCGAAAAGGAACGAAGACGTTGCGCTTAGATACCTATCAATCGCCAATTAAGACGTTTTAGTCAGGTAGACCGATCTGCAGTAAGGTCTAGCATTATATTGTCGATCCCTATCGAGGCATCAATTCCGACTCCCTTAAAAGTCTAAACCGCCAAGTCGCCCTTTTACGTCAGGGTCGGAGTTTCCCTCTTCCAGGTAGCAATGGCAAATATTCCCGGCTTCGTTGGGTTTTCCCTAAGTAAGTTTAGTTCTCTTCACTCTAGATTGCCACCTCTAACACCCGGGGTCCAGACGAAGATGTCCCGTCATCCTTCTCCAGAAGGCAAAATGGCTGCGTAAAGTGCGAGAGTGGTGCGCCGACGTGTCCCAGTTGTGCCGACGATGAAATGTGCCAATTTAGTATTCAGACCTGCAATGAATGTCAACAGGCCTTCTGTTTAAAAGATCCAACCGCCGGTGCTGCCGCTCCCCAAGTCAGTAAAGGACCGAATTCCGGTGCAATTGCGGGTGGCGTGGTGGGAGGCTTGGTTGCTGTCGCAATCATTGTTTATTTAGTCTGGAGATTCTGTATCAAGAGTAAGAGGTCTCAATATGAACAAGAGCCGTGGCAAGGAGACGTAGAGCATACGAAGGAGGCTATGAGTATGCCAAATGAGTTGGATGCCTCAGCCCGATCGAAACGAGCATCGACACATACTGTACACTCTATCGCATCTACCGTCCTAACCCGCGCTTCGAACATTATCCAGATCGCATATATTCCCGGAGTAACCAACCGAGCTACGCCTACGTCGCCAACTCTACTTGTCCCTCCAGTACCACCGATTCCTATCGCGCACTCGGACAGCGGCAGCAACTCGCCCTTTGACGAACAGCGTTTCTTCGTTCCTGGCGACCTCCGAGACTCGACGTACTCGGGCATATCCGGTTACAGTGATCGTTCGTCAGTTGCCCGAACGTCGTACGCTCCACGATCAAGTGTTGCATCTACTATATATGGAAAGAACGCCGTTATTTCCCCTCTCCCAGCTCAGAAGGGCAATTTCCTCAAACCGTCCATCATTAGCGTTAAGTCGCGTGCTCCTAGCAGTAATAGCGGCAGTTCAACGCCGCCTGTACCGGCTGTCGACTACGAAAAATACGATCAACCACCTGCTTCTCCAGCCTTCAGTATTGGCGCTACCTTTTTCAAAAACGCTAGCGCTTCAACAGCGACTGCTGTGCGGCCTCAGATGGTCCGTGTTGGCAGCGGACCCAAGACAGTCGATGTAAAATCGAAATCTTCTCCCGATTCTATTGAGGGGTCCGATAACCCGCACAAAGAGAGAGAGTCAAATGCGGTGACGATAATTGAGGATACGCCGGTTGAAGACCAGGGCCCCTTTGCAGATCCACCTAGCCGTGCGAACAAAAACAACAGCTCCCTTAGTGCAGTAATGGGGGAGTCAAACAGAAGGGTCGACAGAAACAAATCCTTGACAGGACGAGACGGTAGCCCGTTCGGTGATGAAAATGCCTTACGAGACTAATCTAACCGTGATCTAACACGATGTCTACCATCATGATGGAATATGGGAAATGCGTGATAAATGGGGATGTATTCGTCTACTTAACACTACTTCTGGTATTTACTTAGTCTGGACTTTTTTTTTTCCTTTGATATTGTTAGTCGGTCGGCAAGCCAGCCTTTGTTGATTCTTTTCATACCACCTGCTGCGACCTTGGGATCGCAGTGGGACGAGTGCTGGGCTGGATCTTTACGGTACGGCGTCTCGGTTTGGAGATACGAATGAAATGGGACAGTTTATAGTGCCCTCGTGTAGATGGTCGCTGGTGTCGCTATTGCGGCTGACCTGTCTTTTGCTATGTATTGTGTTGCCCCTTTTTATAAGCCTCTAGGGCCCCGGAGACGAACAACACGATCTATTCCAACGCTACCATACTTCGATAGCTATCATCAATGTGACTTGGCACAATTCTACATATTTATAGGACTGAGATGATTCGTAGGAGGTAAGAAATAGTATTAATAGCCACCTTTACCTAATACGACTTGTATTCGTTGTTCATCAATAGTAATTTCTACAACAGCGTAAATGCAGCTTTGAAGGGTCTTTTCAAACAGTGACAGTCCTATTGTCTAGGTTCTTATTCGATATACCAAGTCCGAAATAACATCAAGGCTACTTACTACCTTAGATACAACCCACTGTAGTTTTACTCCATACCAATTAGTGTATAAAATCCCAACAAAATCAGTGTTAGCCATCTACTGTTAATATTGCGTCTGGTCTTACCCCCTTTACCTCGGTCTAATAGTCATTATAGTTACGGCATGAAACTGATGTTATATCATATATGTTCGTAGGCCTATGCACTTGCGGTGTATTACCCTTTAGCCTTGACCAGGCTGCGATGGCTAGCATGATGCCGAAATAACGCTAGAATACTGTACTATAATATCAGCCACTCTTACATCTCCCTTGCCCGAGTTCCACTGGCATTCTTGGTGCTCTAGGCTAGCTGAACTGAGTCGACATATTATTACAAGCTCAGGCTCACATTACGCATCTCACCTCCGTGCTTTCATATTTAGATCACCAGGCTAGGTAGACAGGTTAGACAGGCAAGCCTATCTGCCCAACGCGGCATGATGCTTATGCCAAGGTGTTGATGTTGACATAGCGGCCCGAGGAAGACTCGTACTGCAGGCTTTCAATTGCTTGCTGCATGCACCCATCCGTTGTCCGACCGGAGAGGCGTTCAGGCGGAAAAGTAGACAGGTATTATGAGTGGTACATACCTAGTCATATTAGATGAAGAATATAAGCATAGGCATTTCTCTACTGTGCCGTTGCTACTTAATGCTTTCATCGGAGAACGGAGTAGACGGTGGACGTCTGGTATGTATACCTTAGATAGTAAAACCCACCAGTGACGTTCATACCACCTCCTAATAAGGGAGCGCAATGTGCTACCCTTACTATGTATCCCCATCTCAATAGGTCATGTGTACTTGGTCGGATAAGGGGTGTACGCATTTTCATAAGCCATCTCGATCCAATGTTCTGGAACACCAGAACAGAGGCACACGGGATAACTGGAATTCTCTTTTGAAACATTGGCACTTGCATCATGCATTAAATATCCAACGATACAATCTGTATATATGCTAATCATATAGGTAGGTATACATAGGTATGCAGCAGACATCACAAGAAACCAATGTATTCACATACACGTATGGTATGATATCGGCTCGCACAACTAAAAATTCCATTTTCCATTTTTAGATAGCTTGAATTCTTTATTGAAAGCCTCTCTGTCTATCTAAGATGCCAGTGAAGAACATTTTAGGTAAACATTGCCTTAGGTGCATTATGTAGGTACCTCTTATTTGACAAAGACAGGTAACCCCATGTGTTAGGTGTATCGGCCTCTTGCATCTGCAACTGCAACTGCAACCATCTCATGACCTCCCCGACTGCTGCATAGGTACATAGGTAAATACCTCTTAACCTATTATTAGAGAGGGGGCAAGCCATACATTAGCAACCATTCTTAGATTCAATAGTAATATTGGTTGTACAATAGCAATAGTTGTTGAGTGAGCAATGGTTAGAATAGGGGCTTTTCCTTTCTTGTAATGAAAGCTACGAGACCACGTACGGACCGGTGGTTAGTATCATGTACTACATAATCGCAGCATAAATAGGTACCTACATATATGTATATACTCTGTTATGGTTCTAGGTGAGACATCTAGAACGATGGATACTTTCAGTATATATGCCTATCTAAGGTAGGTAGCCACAAGTTCCCGTGGTTTAGGTCTGGAGCTTCTTGCGGGACGACAAAGTTATTTTTATGCCTTCTAGGTTTCCCTCATCACATAGTTATACCGAGTAACCTGCCAGACAACTGTTGCGTCCCGAATAACAATTTCTCCACTGAGCAACATTGTCTCTTCGTAGAGGGAGAGAAGTTACTATTCCACGTCTCCTATTTTGGAATCGAAGAACTCTCCCCTTATTCTCACAAATATTCAACTGATTTACCTATGTGAATAAATGGAGACGTAGTTGAGTGACAATAGCACTTGTTGTACCGTCAATAAACACTGTGGGTGTGTCTTTTGTAGGGTTAGGTGTCCCACGGTATAGCGCATTGAACGAGTGGAAATCTTACTTATATATATTCACCCAGCTTATAAGCCAGTAGAAACCCCTTTTATATAACTGTTCGATCTAAAGAAAAGGGAGTCTTTGTAGTATGTCTTGTTGTTACTTGTATGATATATCCTATGGTATATGCTCCAGAAACAGGAATATTAAGTGGATTTATAATTATGTGACACTATAGGAATGATATTATATCTATCTGGAGTGGCTTTGGCCTCCAAAATCAATATAAGCTTGCTATTTACATTTTATGTTTGTCCTTATTAACTAGTTAAACGTGACAATTCAGTGAAATAGGAGTGGTAGACTTCAACACGTTGGTATTTAATAATTGCCTATGTTTACCTATATTTGGTGTTTTCTGGTGCGTCCTATGAAGACAGGTTAGGATCTGCTAGGCGTGATTGAGTTACGGATGTGTTTTCGAGATATAGCTTTAACGGAAACGGGTTTCTGCAAGACTGAATACACATATATAATAGATGCACCTATATCTGGGAGTAATAATTACCAGGGCCGGCAACACCGAGTCGCCTCGATCTTAAGATTCGACGTAATAACAGATTACTATTCCCTTTCGGAATTATTGCCTAGGTAGGCAATGATACACAAGCTCCGGATTTGTCAAGCGTGAAAGAAGACAAGAGAAAGGGGGAATGGGGGTTAAACCTTAGATCTATCTATTGGATGCACTCCGCATTCTAGAAGGAGAAATGCCTGTGGCAAACATTCTTAATGCTTACTCTGCATGAACAACAGCGTTCTCCCTGCCGGTCAAGGAGTTTCATATCTAGATAGATTTCCAGGGGACGACCACCCACGTAGAGGAATGCAGGTTCGACAACCGTGGGGGAAGTGTGGGAGGCAAGCCATATGGCAGTCATTTATGCAGCGTGACGTACGTATATACATCCCATTTATGTAGGGTGAATCTTCCGAGCCTAGAAATGGATAAAGATGGGGGATGCTTAAAGTGGTTGGCTAAGGTATTTGTTTTATAGGGGTCTATATTTGGAATATGTATCTTTCCCTGCGTTGGATTAACCAGCTCTTACCTGCAAGGCTCAAAATATATCTTGACATCATGAGTGGAAATGGCATCACGACTTCTCCTAGATCCTTAAGATCACCGTTTATGATGCGGATCGGGAGACACCAACACTGGCAGCACAAACACAATTCCAACTTATGTATGCAAGACCTACCGCATAAGGCAAAAGCGACCATCCCAAGACATAATCCCACGCCCAGCTAAAGCATAAACATGGTTGAATTCCCTTACATGAGAAACGTTCCCCCCTAACGTAACGAAAACGCCGACCGCTAGGCCCGAAATTATACGGTCGAACAGAGTGCATACGGCGTTGCCGACTAAAGGGACATGCGCCGCGCTGGGGGAAAAATGTATGCATTTTCTTTTACTAACCGCCACGCGGCGTCCAAGCGCACAAGCGTGGAAGACAAGACAAGAAAAAAAAAAGCCCGAAGGAAGTCGGCGATAATCCCCTACCGACAGGAAGGAAAATCTGAGAATTGTTCCGCGTGCTCGGTGTAAAACAACTCGATCCTATTCGTGGGCGAAGGGGAAAAATAAAGGACGCCGAGGCCTACCGTAAGTGCCGACATCGAAGCCGCGCTCGCGTGCGCGCGCGCACACGTAACCAGCACAGGCTCGCTGTCGGGAAGGATCGCGACCCCTGGGCGAGTTCTCGCTGCTCGCACACCGGTCGATAATAGTGGGAGACGGGACGGCCCGGCCGAGAAAGGAAGGAGAAGAAACAGCACGCGGATTTCGAGAATAGGAAAAGGGAAGCAAGCCTTTCCTACCTTCCAAGAGTTCTCCTTGGAATTCCACGGCAGATGCTGGTTGAATCAGCCAGACTATGTAAAGGACAACCGTAGCGTTTCTGCAGCACGACTGAAACGGTAGAGGCACTGCTCTCCCTTTGCAGTCGGCGATGTGCCCTGTACCGCGGGCGTGTACCACGTGCTGGTGTGGTAATGTTCGCTTGCTCAGATACCTGTTATATCTGCGGGCTCCCGAGCAGCCAGCCCATTCTCGGCGGAGGTCCTCGAGTTTCCCGGCTCGGATGTAAGCTATGCATTGTTATGTGCAGATGATGCTTAAGCCAACGTGGCACGTGGGGGAACGTTGTGAAGGATCGGGATGCTCGAGGGGTGAACTCTTTTCTCTATGTATGTACTTACTCTCCTAGAAGCTTTGGAACTGCCATGTAGGTAGCATGGTCCCACCGTAAGAAATTACGAGCATTCGAGAGCTAGGAAGATATTGCCCGTAGGAGCAGGATTAGCGAGGTTAGACCCCTAAACCGCGTCCGTGGCATTGGGAAGATTGAGCTGTGGGGTTGGTATAACCACGCGTTTGGACCGCTCGTCCGGCGTCAAGGGCTTGCCTGTCTGTCGTGGGGACAATGCTTGTCCGACCGCAATAGGGTCAGAGCCGCCTGTGTATGTATTCGGACATATGTAGCTGTGTATGGGAAAGGGGACATGATGGTGCTCAAACCTGGGCGGAGATCTGGCAGAGATAGCAAGATGTTCTTGCATCATGTGTCAGCACTAAGTCTGCAAGAAGTAGAAAGGGGTACAGCCATGAAGAATCTTTCATTCGGTGAAGACGGCTAGAGGTCACAGGGGGGTCGAACCCTACATCCTCGGGTACGATCCGTATGTATTTGCATGTGCAAATATTAAGCGCGTGAGTTGAAACACCAGCCGGACAAACTATTGAGTGATGCCCAGAAAGTAATCTGCAGTCATCAACGAGTGCGTGAAGTCTTCTATGGCTCGTAGGTATACTGACTGCCGAGTTGAGGAAAGACGAAAAGGCACAAGCTTGGTAACGAGACTTATATTACCCAGTGATGAGTGACAGGGCTTATGGAATGGTGTTGAGGTGCTTCGTACGCCGACTAGTCCTAAAGGGTATAATGCAAGGTTGATGATGATGGAAAAGAGACCCTTGACGGTATGGAAAATTTCCGTCCCCTTATTCTATCATTGCTCTCCCCTTCATTCGCTTGTTTTGCTGTTTTCATTAGAATACCTAGTAAACGCTCGACCTTCCGCTTTGGCTCGGTAACCCCCACAAGGCTACTTACCACTTAAACATGCCACGAAGTTGGTAACATGTAATTTTTATTTATTTTCCTACCCTTTACCGGTTCGCTATTAATGAAACGCGGTAATATTACCCAGCGTAGGGGTCCTGTGGACTGTTTCCGGCCTGTTGTCAGACGTATGTATGTAGTATTCAGTATTCAGTATTCAGTGACTTACAAGCCCGTGGGCTGGGGACGAGTACCGGGACAGTCGTGTGTAGAAATGCGAATTGGGTCATGTATTGTAGCGAACAGCCGCGCCGGCTCCGGAGTCACCGGTAGCGTTGTTCCCACTCAAGACCGATAGGATTGCGAATAGGATCGGGTAGCTGCGGGAACAGCCGAGGGTTGACAGTTGTAGTCCGCTAGTCTTACGACAGAATTTAGATGTCGACCGCTTTGCTGCTCCCAGAAGAGCGGAACGCAAAATTCTCGGCATCATCCCAACCGTCCAGTGTACCTTGTCTAACCCGACGATCCTAGCTTGACGAGTGTTTCCGAACTGACTAAGACTGACAAGGCTTAGGTTGTGTGCTGTGTAGGTAGTGCACATATGCTGTGTTTATGTAGACTAGAAGTACATCGTGTAATATCTACATAATGTAAACTTGTTAGGGAGTCCATTAAGAAGTTGAGAAGTGATATGCTAGCTTCGACCTTCCTTAGGTGAAAGGGTGACATGCTTGTCTAAGTCGTCTTAACAGGAGATACTCGCACAGTTATCAGATTCTGGCACCAAGATCGTGTCCGTTATATCAAGGAACACAGGAACACAAGACCACGAAGGGACACGGACTGCACGCAAGCTGTGCCACCTCGGGCTGAATTTCCGCGTTCCGGTAAGCAAGTCAGGACCCGAGAAATTGCGGAATGCGCAAAGCCCCTTGATATGAAATGATTACCTTATTCTCACCTACCTGGTAGATCCTCCAGTCCGGGAAGACACCCTTGTATAATCTACTATGTACATGGATCGATTGGTTTGGGTGTCGTACTAATATGTAAGTAAGTACATAGAAAAAGAAGCCCAAAGTATGTGGTAAAACGTAATATTACATATTCTAGTCCCGACTATCGTATAACTCTAATAGTGAATGGTGCATGAGCGAAAGGGAGAGTTAGAAGGTAAAACTGATGCTATTTAATATTTAAAGATAACCCGAGAATCTCTCCGCTCTCCGCCTCTCTTATGAGTCTTGGCACATTGCTCGGACTTACATACATGCTACATAAAGAGGTATGTACCTGTTAACGAGGTAGCTACTTAGACAGCTTACCTTTGTGGCGCCACGGGAACTATACGAGGTACATATATATGTTTTATATAATAATCCGTAGGTAAAATTGATCTATATGTATACACATCCTTATATAGACAGGCTTACATAGGTAGGGACTCATACAGGACAAAGTACCTAACATACATACATGAAGACCATGCGACAGGAAGTTCAAGCGGCCTCTTCTGCGGCCACAGCATATTAATACATACCTGTATGCAAGTACCGGCAGGCAATCATACTTACATATGTACCTAGGCTCAAGGTGAGCTACGCTGCTAGGCAGGACACACCTAGAGCAACGAGTACCGAAGACAGGTCCGCTCGTAAACATGGTATTGGCTACGCTCCCTACCTAATGTATCCAACTAAGTTATGTCATAATCCGTAGTCTAGGTAGCATACCTACCTGGTAGGTATGTATGTACTACCGATACATAGTGCAAGGTGCAAGGTGCAAGGTGCAAGGTGCAAGGTTACATAGACTGCCTATGTGTGTATGTAGATGAGCTGATGAGCAGCCTAGGTGCATACCCCAAGGAGACCCAAAGTATATACGTATTACAACAGCTGCCGCGGTAATAGGATCATGATAATTCGATGATTTTTACGCTGACAGGTCGTACACGCGTTGTACTCGTATAGAGGGTACGTACGGTTATACGGTAGTTACCTACATAAGAATTCAAGTAAACACGCCAACACGTCCCTCCTCAGCATCTAGCCGTGCCCAGACTCGATGCTGGCGCCGACATATCGGATGCCGTCACGTCACCGTCGAGGATTTACATCAGTACCTATGTATGTAGATAGGCTAGGTACCTTACCTAGCTACGGCTATTATTATATGATCAGTGAGTACCTACTTACCTACCTATGTATATACTTATTGTGTATGTAGCTTGCGCGCCTAAGAGGTAAACACAGCCGAGAGATCGCTAACTACCTACGGTTATTATAATTTATGGTACCTAGCTCCAGCCCCGAACTGGTGGTCTTTGCCGCTTCAGACGCACGTACGTGTATCCATACATAGCATATAGCACATAGCACATATCATATTTCCCTACGTTGCATGCAAAGGAGATAGGTTACCCATCCATCATGACGAACGAGTTCGCTCCCCCGTGATAACTACTACGTCTACTACGTCTACCGCGTCAGTAGCGTCGCTTCTCAAGCTATGATGATCTCCCGGCAATGTCTTGTTTCGCTTCCTAGTTCCTAGCGGTAGCGGTAGCGCAGCGTCGGTTTAGATGCCGAACAAGAACTGGGTCACCTTATTACCGTACCAGAGCCTACTCGAACTAGGTCCATCATGTTGGTCTAATACCAACTACAAGGAGTTGGTGCCTAATGACAAAAGGGTTCCCCACAAAGCTTGCGACCATTATTCAAAAGCCTGGACTGTTGTGAGACGGGCCTAGACGCTTTTTGATTGGCAACGTGGAACCCGTTCGCTTCCCTTTAGTGTACATACACACCTCCTACTAATACACTTATGTACAGTTGTCCATTATTACATATTAGTTATGCCGACTATGAACTACTATTCCGTTCTAGCACCGAGTCCACTCTACTCGTATGTAGACCGTAAACCCAACCACCAAGATTGTATACTTTCCCACCGGTTTATCAAAACAAATGTTGACAAGCCCCTCCCGCCTAAGCTCCGCTTGAAATCCTCGGTAAGATCGCCGTTTATCATCTCTGTTATAAGTGTCTGCTCGCGTATTGTACATCAAAGTAGACATGCCTTTTCTGTTCCCGCGGGTTTTATCATGTAGGTACACAGGCCCCGGGATTAGACTACGGATTATGGGCCGTTTTGGCCTCGAACCCCCCCGGTCCGGTTTCCGCGTAATGTCCTAGCACGCGTTAGTAGTTTTCCATGTGTTTCGAAGGATTAGCGATTGGAGTAGGACGTAGTGGAAAATTTGAATCATTGGGCAACCTCTTACGACTTATGAAGGGGTTTGGTAATTATAAGGCAGCTAGGTATTATCTAGGAGGCGTCAAGGGGTAACGAACGTCTGGAAGGGCTCGGGAATTATATTCCTAGCAAGGGCAGTATGGTAGATAATAATTCACGAAAAAAGTGGTCCGGAAATCGGTCATCAAAACAATCAAGATGTGGTCAAGTGGGTAGATCAATTCTGAGCATGCATAGGGCTCTATGATAGATAGGTTCGAGTAACAATGACAGTTTTCGGCTCAAGATAAAGAAAACTAGGTGGCCTGAAACCTCAGGTTAACAGACAGCTGCGCTTTTTTCCTTTTGCGAGATTTCCAAAACAGAAATCGATGGATGGCGAACATATATCCAACACATATTCGATAACAATATAAACCGTCTTCATGGTGTACCCAAGACGTGACTGACAAAACTCATATTAGCCTGAGGGCAAGGCACGCCCCAAGACTCCAAAACACCAACGTAGCCGTCCACCCAGCTTGCCCACAAAACACATCTTCATCCCTACTCGGGGTAACCAAGATACTTGCGCCCAATAATGCCGCTTATTTTTCGTACGCCATTCGCCGATTCGATAGCTAGTAGATGTATGGAGTGCAATGTAAGAAGAGGTATATAATAATCCTCCATGTTGTATGAACACAGTATGGTCCAAGTGCGCTATCGTATGCGTGCATGCTTTGATGTTGTCATCATTTCGGGGATCGTATTAGAGCTTGGAGCACGCAACCAAACACTGGAACAAATTCGTCATCAGAATGCTGGTCGTGAACGCGCGAGAGCGCATGTAATGCTAAGAATAAGACGCCATCTATAATATGACGCAGCGTCCGTTTCCACCTCCGCCTCGGCGGTTCCTCCTATACCTATCCCCAGGTTCCCTGTGGGGAGCTTCTCCATTTTGAGGTCGTGGGCGGCCGGTTTGCGGCATCGGCCGAGATGCTTGTTGTCGCTGTCTGCGTAGAATCCTAACGACGTCATAGAAAGCCTTCTCGACGTTTATGCAGTTCTTGGCCGATGCTTCGACGAACTCGCAACCCAATTCCCGCGCTAGAGCATGACCTTCTTGGGTAGAAACTTCTCTTTCCGTTACCCGGTCGCTCTTATTACCAACCAGCATAATCGGTACGGCACTTGGGGGCGTTATTGTAGATATCGGCGAGCCAGGATAGGTGGGTGATGCCGAGCATGATTCCTTTACCCGTTGAATCTGGTGATGAAATCTCTTGATTCGGGAAAATGATGACCGAGACGAAATACTATAAACTAGTACGAAACCCTCACCATCTCGAATCCACTGGTCTCGTAAGGCTGTGTATTCTTCTTGGCCAGCGGTATCCAATACTTCCAGCATACAAGACTGGCCATCTATGACGACTTGTTTTCGGTACGAGTCTTCAATTGTCGGGTCATACTATATAGCACAGAAATCGTTAGCGACTGTATTCTAGATATTGGTTACGCGCGCAAACTACAAAGCTAATACGGGAGTAGTCGCGAGCATAATCTACTTTTAGGGGGGGCGAGGACTCACGGTTTCGACGAAATGTTGTAGACATAACTGAATTGTCAAAGCTGTTTTACCGACACCACCGTCACCGAGGACCACCAGTTTATAAAGCACCATTTTACCCGCCATGTTGTTACTTGAAAGAGGTCGCACAGGACCAAGCAATACTCTTTGTTTTATTGTTATACCAGGCGTGATGAAGAAATGGGGGCGGAAGCAAGAGATAAAGTCCTCAAGTCCTCAAGAGAGCTAGGATATTAGACTCAACACGGGGTATAACAGGCGAAGTGGCCAAGTTGGTCGGGCCGCAGTAGGTATTCGGCTACTATGTATGTTGAGGTGGTTTAGGAGAGTCGACACAGATGAGATGGGAGGGAGAGGGGCGAGTCAATTCGTCGGAGAGAAAGTATGAGGAGTAAGAAGAACTGTATTGATCGCAGCGACGTCCGTACTTTTTAGCTCAAGACAAAAAACGGAGAAGGAGAGGAGGGAAGCAAGGAGCAGGAGACGAGGTAGGTTCCTTGTAGAGGATTGTGGAGAATTGAGATTTTGGGAGGGCCTGAGCTCTATGTAGAAAATTAAGCGTAGACAGGTAGACACAGGTAGACGGACAGGTAGGGTAGGGTAGGGTAGGTAAGGTAAGGTAAGGTAAGGTAAGGTATGTATTGTATGTAGGTACCTCTAATGTAGGGTAGGGTATTGTATGTAGGGTAGCGTATTGGTAGTGCATGAGATAGGGAGATTCCAGACTCCGATTACAGTTGAGGGAACCTAAGAACCTGGGAACCTAGGAACCTGTACGGAATAAGAAAGCTGGGATGGGCGAGGATTTGGGCGAGGATTGGTAGATTGGTAGATTGGTAGATTGGTAGTGCTAGGTAAGGTAAGGTAGTGCTGGGTTTTGTTGCTAGCCGGAGGTGCGGTACAGTACCCGTTGCCGGGATGATAGATTTTTTTTTTTTTGAATTGGCGAAGCGGAGGTGGAGAGCGACCCAAAGCCAATGTTTCCCTGGCGTAGGCCCTGGGTCCTTTCTAATGGCTGTCCTAGAGTCCTTGGACAAAACAGCCGACCAATCAGCAGCTATTCCCGGCGTAATAGCACAGGTGGCGCTGGGAGATGGGAGAAAGAGACCACTACTATGGGACCTGGGAATTAACCTGTTAACTTGGGACCTAAGGACCGAACCTAGGGACCGAACCTAGACAAGCTTGCCAAAGGGAAGGGGGGTAGCTCTTGTGGAGTTGACGATAAAATACAGCTCGGTCGTTATATAAAGCCGTGCTCGCAGGTCTTATTACTTTTAACCCCTTAAACTATTAAACCGTTGTTGCTCGACCGAATTGTTTGTCGCTTGTTCGCTTGTTTGTCGCCGCTATGTTACGTTGTTACGCTGTTGACGCCGCGACGCCTCTCTGGGCTGAGCCGAGTTCCACCTAGGAACTGAATTGTAACTGAATTGTATCGTATCTTCCAATGTATCCAATGTATCCAACGTATCCAACGTATAAAAGCAAGGATCAAGTCAATAACCATTAACCTTGTCGATTTCTGTCTGAACTAATGTGGAACCACGTAAACGAGACTGAAATGTTATCGTGTTATCGAAAATGCTAATATTATTGAAATGATGTCGAAAGGTATAAGGTTGAGCATGCAAGGTTGTATTTCTTCTATAATATTAAGGTATGCTAAATAGGTCATGTATGGTAATTGCATTTATAGACGTGGTAAAAGCCCATTTTAAGAGGAATGGGGGGGGGGGAGAAGGGAGAAGAAGAAAAAATACTTTGGTGTGGGCGTGGATGCGATGCGAATACTTTTAACGCTTCAGACCAGAAGCGATGAGACGGTAAAACTGGTCCGCATTTTTGCAGAGAGGTTTTCTTCTTCCTCTTTCCGTACTAAGGTAATAACAACCTAACCTTAGGAGGTAACTACCTACATAACCTACATATATAAAGTACCCGGATTGCATACCTATGCGAGGTAAGTACCTCCTAATTTAGGTACTTACCTTTAGGTATACTTTTAGGTATATCTTGAAGTATCACATATAACGTCTGGGACTAATACGACTCGACTAATACAACCGCAACCGTAAATATCTCGACCTCATACATCTCTCCCGTCAATTACAACTTAATCTGAAGTCATAGAGTGTCATGACAAACACCGAATGTGATGCAATCAAGCAGAACTACCGGCACGTGCCTACATTATTTTCCCGCTTCCTTTGACCTAAGCAGGTATCTTTACTTATATTTTTCTGGTTTTTTCCCCCTCTTCTTGCGATTCCTTACCTTACGTATAATCCTCCTCTTTATCCCATCATCGAGCTCTGCGTTATAAATTATCCTTAATTTCTTACCGAAAAGATGCAGTAATTTCTCGGCGTGTCTAAGAACAAGTGTTTTTTTTCTCGGGACTCCATTTTCGAGATGTAGGGGAGTTTTTCAACTCGGCGGCTCTTAAAACAACTGAGGCTCAACAACCAATGTGCGTACAAGAACACAGTCTCAAACACCGAACTCTGAGCTCGAAGAGTTGCTGCGTCCGGTTTTCGCTGCGTCTAAAGGTGGAAATATATACCTTGCATTTGTCGTTGCTACTATAACCGCAAGTATGTCGGTGTCTTTCTCCCTGTAATCTGTCTCGAGGTCCGCAGATACTGTCCAATACGGATCGGGAAAGTCTTTGACGGTCCAACTCGTTTACCTACCTGTTAACTACCTCACGTTTGAACTTCTCGTATGACACTAGAGTTGTTCCAGGAGCAAGCGTCAAAAGATAAGACAGCGGCTTATACGGCACTCGCCGAACTCGAAGACCACTGCCGGATCCAGATACTATCGCTATTCCCAACAAGTGATGCAGGTCAATCACCAAGTAGCCTTAAACGACTATTTAAACGACTGGGTTAGGTATAACTTCCCAAGTCAAGACACAATTCGCCTTTCTACAGGTCGACGAATGAATCCCTTCCGTTAAACTCTTTCGTTCCGCGGCAATGTTACCATACCTACAGGTCATCAACAGAAACAACGAATAAGCAGCGTCGCGTATCTCCTGGCACGTACTTCGGTTAGGAAGTTTTACCCTTTTGATCGTCTTCGTCACCTTTACCATTGGTTAGCTTAAGGGGTGAAATCTACCATATACGCGGCGTATGCGTGCGGCGTAGGTAATTCACATGGAGGTATTCCATCTTAACCGTCACGCTTGCTGATCTCCAGTCACCTTTTCAATCACCGTTTTAATTACGTTTCACAGGCGCAAGGACTTTTCTCGTCTTGGCAGACCCCTCAAATTGGTGAAATCGATGTTGAGGGGCGCGCCGTATCCATATGTTATGCGTACAGACCAGACTTAGCGGCGCTTAACTTGCGATACCGCATACATATGCGCAAATTCGCCTGTCGCGAACGAATAAAGTCGTACAGATGAAGCCTCTACTGTGTATGGTCTATGGCTTGTGCAGAGTTACTATGGAACTGGTCCCGCCAATGTCCGTGCCACTCACATCTAACCCTACTTTAGACGTTGGCCGATGTGACGAGATGCAAGCAGCAAACTATCCCGCCTCCGATTTCTCCTTTAGGATGGGACGTCTGTATATGGGTTCTCTTAGGACTTCAGAGTTTCCCAACTCATCTTCTGTTCACAAAGTGTCCTAGGGGTAGTCTGAGATAAGGAGTGAGATAAGCAATAAAGTAGTGGTGTGAACGAGGGCCTCCGATCCCTTTTCCCGGGACCAACTTGCATTATCGAGGCTAGAGTAAAAACACTCAGAATAGCTAGACACCTATTTCTCATCTCATTCCCTATAAAGATGTCCCCATCCCCAATCCCTAGAGATCATTACTCCTAATATTCGACTACAGATGGAGTGCATGAGGGTCCAGGTCTTCAAAAGGTAAAAATGACAGCGAACTTAAACTGATCTGACGTTGCACCGTTCAAGTTGCAGTCACTTCTAAGATCGACCACATAAGCCGAAATGTTCGACTTCGCATAGGCAGTAAAATAATTCACACATGACGACCCATGATCCATCTAACATCCAGGTTCCATTATGGTAAGCTAAATATCAATATAGGCATTATCGCTCATAGGTAAAGTATCTTGTTCAAAAATCGATGTTTTCATGTGGTCAACGGGATTTACAGACTGGGTATCCTACTCCCTACCTAAGTCGGTATCCTCCCTGGGCATCACGAAACGTTTTAAGTATGCCGCACTACCGCTACTTTCAAGCTTCTTACCTCATGCGGTTGCGATTAAACTGACAGCCTAGAAGCTATCCGGGCTCCCGAGCCCGGAACCTCGCAAATCCTCAAATGAGATTTGCTGGGTTGCTGGTCTTCCTCACATCTGTATGATACCTGACGTATTATTCAAGCTACTTGACATTTTCGACCGTGAAGAAGGAATACAATGATAAGTCCCTAGGTTAGTCTTTTCTTCGAATAACTACCTAAAGTATATCCACGGGGTTAGACACCTTTTACTCGGATATACCGAGTCTCCTTGCTACTTCAAGAAAGCCACCTTCACCTCGAGCAACCCATAGATCAACCCATCCCCGAGCTTCCTTGTAGCGGTCTTCTTCAGCGCCCCAGGCTTCTTCCCTAGGCCGCTCCACGTAGATCGTTCTAAAACCATTCGACCGTGCTCCTGCAAGATCCCCCAGATGAGCCGCAACCATAGCCACTTCCTCGGGCCGAAACCCAAGAGACTTTGCTGCACCCAAATATGTACTCGGATGCGGCTTATAAGCGCCAAAGTCGGCAGTTGATATTATTCTCCGGAAGCCTAGACCCCCGTACTCGTTAAGATCTGTGAGAATGGATTGGTTGCCATTGGATAGCGTCGATGTGACAAGCCGGGTCCCCAGTCGCTGGATGCCTGCCGCGGAGTCATCCCACGGTTTGAGATGGTGCCAGATCTGGTTTATGGATCGCGCCTCGTCGTCTGTGTAGATGCCGGAGAGTCCCCATTTGTCTAGCAGTTCCCGAAGAGCGTCGTAGAAGTGAGTATCAATGTCCTTCCACTCCGACTTGCCAGGCACAAATTCCCGTGTAAATACGTAGTAGGTTATCCTCCATTCCTGTGTAAACGTGGCCCAATCGTCGTCGGTCATCGCTTTTAGGCGAGCCTGCGACGATTCGGGCAATGTGCCGAAGGTCGGAGACGTCGTCTTCTCCCGGGCACGCTTCACGAGTTCCTGGTGGACACTCGAGCGATAGTCCACAACGGTGCCAAAAACATCAAAGGTCAAGGCCTTGACGTTCCGAAGCGCTTCGGGTATAGAAGCTGCCATTTTAGCCAGTTTTTATATGTTGGGTGGCATAAGAACAATACTACTCGATTGCCGTCTGTGTTGACCTACGACATGCGCTGACGAGCAAATATAGTCTGGACAATGAAGTGATCCGGCCATCGGAAGGGTGGGGTAGCTGTACGCCTTTTTTTACAACCGAAAGTTAACGAGGCATATGCCGAACTCCTCTTTGCAACCCATTTCCAGTCTCGATCTCCATGTTTCCCAACATGCAGTAAGTTTGAGTTGTCATGTCACCAGCATCGGCTTTTGAACCGCAACTTACGTTTATTCGTTTATTCACTTAACTAGATCAGTGTTACGACGTCCTCTTGGATGGTTCCTTCATTGCTACCATAGTCGTCCGAAACACTTTGCTCATTGATACGTAGTATTTTATATACCTAGTTCTATCAAGTACCTACTATATGCGAGTTATAATGTTGTTATGATATTATATTGCAATGCTGTATTGTTAGTGCTGTCGTTACTCGGGGTTGCAATTAATTCTACCACAAGCCCCCGGGAAACTTCGTCATAAGAGCTTCATACCTTATAACCACCAATGTTTCTATATTATATCAATCATGTCAGTCATTTTATACTGCTATAACGGACTAGCTACCTCTCTATACGAACAGATGTTCTTATTAACAGGCTCTCTTTTAACTGGTATCGAGTTCCGCCATCACAACTAGTTTAACCAATACCTAGTTAACGGAACTTGTGGTATTGATAGATTCTCCGGTATGTCTTTGGTAATGAAAATCCTACAAGCCGTCTAGTATTGAGTTGGTTTCTCTAGGATATTGTGTCAACTCTACGGGCTGTAAATTTGGTCACAAGAGTATTAACTAAAGAAACAAGTATAAAGAAAGTCGGTCTTCTGCCATATATGAAGGACATCCAAAGACGTGTATCCATGTGATTAATTACTCCCTATTTTATTTTATTTCCAGGTAAGAGAACCTGTGCAATATGTGTTTAGATCTAACTGTGTCCAAGTTCCTATTAACTACCTAGGTTATATAGTTACTTAGGTGCTTAGCAAACTACCTATGCAGTAGGGGTTATAGGTGAAACCAAATAGTGTTGACGCCTTCTGCATAGTTTTCTCTTTCTTGTTGCGTTTACCAATATATATGCTCTCGTTGAGAATAGTTATTATACTCCAGTCCTACAGAAACAGGTGGGCTATTTTTCGAAACCATTCTTCGATTTTGTGTAATTCCGGCTGGGGTTTATCAGGTTTTCCTAAAAGAGATAGACGTGCACGATCGTGCTACTTAAAGCCTATCTACGACTACGATTGATATTAAAGGAGGAACGTTGTGAAATGAAGCTTGAAATCAGCCTGGGTTCCATCAATTTGCCTTGGAAGTAAGGATATGGAAGGCTCCCTAAAACGCACTTGCTATTTCTAACATGTTTAGGAGAGGAGCTCTACTAAGCCAGAGTCAAGCGTACCTAAGGAGTGATTCCGTTATGTCCAGGGGAGCCTTCATCGGAAACAAAGTTAAAAGCCTGTCTCCTATTATGTAGAACGAGTATAGTTTGGCATACGGTTAAGCTTGTCTTCGTTGACAAGGTACGCAACAAGCTCTACTCGCAGAAATCCTCAAATGAAAGGAATAGCGACATGTCCCTTTATTATTATCGACAAATCGGGATCAATAGAGTGTTTGTACATACATATCCCTAAAGTGATAGTATAAGCAAACTTAGCCAGAAAAACTCGAAAGAGCATTTGCCGTGCTTTACATAGCCAGGGAGATGCGTAACTAGTTTCTAGCTTTGTCGAGATATGTATGTATTTGGATTAGTACCTACTTACTACTGCAACGCACGGCTCTGTGTCAGACATAGTCGTCTGTTAGTCGAAGCCGGGTATCCATTCCGTAGCGCTGCTCCCTCCTAGTCAAATAGCTAAAGCCATTTGAGGCTGATAAGTTTGTATACCTCATCTGCTCAATGCAAAACACAAGCTAACACGAAAAAAAAAAAAAAAAAAAAAAAAAAAACCGGTTAGCTGTCTACCGGATCACATCTTGTCCAAATTGTCTAGATACAAAGGTGCGGCATATCCCGCATACTATATCGTATAACTGTAGCATCAACCTCTTGTTGGGGATGTTGTGCGCTAATCTCATGTTCTTAATTAAAGCCACTCTTGGGCTAGAGCTAGCTAGCTGGATGAAATTGCAAATTCGAAAGTTAGATACGAATGCTGTGGCTGCCGCGGAATCATACGTTCTGTAAGCAATAATTCTAGCGTCCTGGAAGGTCTGGTGTAGCCTCAACTGAGGAAACCATGGTAGCTATGTATATAATAGTCTTTCGGGCTACCGGTATATGGGGCCGCATAGGGCGAGATCGACGACACGGTTGATATGTATGGCTCCACCCACGACTTACTATTGTGTATATACCTACCTACATACACTGCACTGCGCATGATCTTAGATCGGGATATCGATACATACATAGGAACGCGTGAAGGACTTGGCATGTAGAAAAGTTTACAAATTTTCATTAAAGCTACCGAATATAAGTTCGTATATACACCCATTCACGTTGATCCTATGTTGTTCAAGTAGCCTACGGAAAATTCGTCGTGGGACAAGTAATGGTAGCTACCTACCTACCTAATTAGTGATTATTTATACACAGTACATAATCCGCCAAGCTGTCACGATTGTGATGATAGTTAGGTTGATTGGCCAGGGCAATCATGGCGATAATTTGACCGAAAGCCCATAAGTCTAGATTTTGGATTGTCTTTCTGGGCTTGAAGCACCGAGGTTCGTCTTAAATTCAGCGCACCTCGGATGGCATAGTCAGCCAACCAACATCCATCCAACCGGCCACGAAGTCTCAAGTAGAACTGTGTTAGATAGGGGCGATCGTGCGAGGAGCATTTAAAAGTAAAAAGCAACTCCCTTGTGAGAATTACACTAGAGAGCGTTTCTCTCAACCAACCGTTCATAAAATGATAAAAAGCGACCTGTATAATCTGACGTGTTAGTTCTTACTAACAACCGAGACGGTTCCTGGACTAGATCGTGCAGTAGTAGTGTCATGTTTATTACTTTGGAGCACAGTCCAGCTATATTACTTCCCGTTATGCGGAGATGATTGAGCCTCAACGTTCCCTTGCGTGAGAACCTTAGTCGTACGTTTTCCGGATACTGTACGCGCATGGACTTATCTTCTCGATGACAGACAATAGAAACCTCCTTGATTGGAGTCCGGACTGTGCTATATGCGCAGATTATACGCAGAGGACCAGCCATTCAACACTCGAACCAGTTACGAAGGTTAGGTAACGTGTCTGTCGCAGTTAAACATTTATGTCTTGGAGAAATCTGGGGTAATACACAGAGGTAGGTAGCTAACCTAGCTATGTAGGTATCTAACCTAGCCAGTAAAAAGAATGTACTATGTAGGTGTTGCAAATCTCGGTTATCAGCCTATAGGCATACGGTATAAGTTGACACGGCACGTAATATCGGGTATGGTGAGCTAATCTACGCTCTACTCGTATGTATGTCGTTCTTTTCCTCTTCTCAATTGTCAATCCAGTGATCATATGCAAGTGCGTTGAAAGTGGCACCAGCCCTGAGATGTGATTCTCCTTGCATACACGGAGGAGCCGATCGCATTCGAGGGCGGGTGAGTGGAGCACCAACCAGCGACTCGTACACGCGTGAAATAGGAATTAGCCGGATGTGATCTTTATTTCCTTTTTTTCTCTCTTTCTCTTTCTCTTTCTCTCTCCCTTCTCGCCCGCAAAACACAAGCGCCGTCGTATCAGTTTCGCGGAACTCACGTTCGGAGCTGTGTGTCCTGTTTTGGCGGGTGGGATTCCCCATGTTCTTTTTTTATTTTTTATTTTTTATTTTTGGACCAACCGACATCCGCAATACATAGTGTATTGACATGAGAAATGGGCCGCACGCACAGGGAGGAAAACCATGATAGCGTGGCTGTTGGTTGTGGCTATTTCTCCCGGCGCTGCTCTGCGAGTGGGACTTCATCAAAGCATGGGTACCTAATGTTTGCCATCGAATTCTTCCGTACATACTTGTGCTGTCGTGCTGTCTACGTACGATTAAAGGCTTATCAAAAGCTGACGAAAGCCTCGATTGGTGTTGGCTCATTTCTGATAATAACGAGAGACCCCGGACTGTCGGGAATATTCTCGAAATCCTTCGGGGATCCTTACCGGCCGTGATGAGGTACGTAGCTGTGTAGGTTGCTGAGTTGCTAAGTTTCAGAAGATCCTAGTGAGAACCCATATTAAAGCCCGATATCCCAATTTAGCCTTGTGGTGGACGTGATGGACGTAATGGGTGGGTGGCCCGTCAAGTTTAGTTCCAATGTAGTATGTATAACTACCTAACCTACCTACGTACCTGTAGTTAGTTCTGTTACTGTCCTAACCTAGATCTTGGAACAAGTTAGGCTTCTGATCCTACTACTACTGCTACTACTGTAATCCAGGCTTGGCTCCCGAATTGTCGGGGACGCCATGTTCCGCCTCGGTCAGCTAAAACTGGCGTGATATGTAAAGGCTGAAACCAGCACTATTAATGACACTAGGACTAGTTGTGCGTCTTTATCTTTTGATCATCTCCTATTGCTTTAACCTAGGTAATTAAATGCCTCAGATAGGTATGCAGGTAGTGTATTTGGCGATATGACAGTTGTAGGTGGCTCATTAAAGCCCCTTGTGTCCCTACTTGTGTCCCTACTTGTGTACCTAAGGACGGAGAAAAATATCAAGTCTATTATTAGGGACTGTCATTTATTTATTTGTTTATTTATTTGAGCCTGTTATTCAGCCGCAAGGGTTAGCTATATGTACTAAGCCTTGCGACTCACGAGCTGCAATATTATTACATAGGTACCTGGCATAGTAGAAGACCAAGGCGTTCCAAAGTATGAAGAAACCTGTTTCTTCTTGGTCTTCTGTATGTGTTGAGACCTTGCTAGCGGCG